CCCCACATGTCCAGAAGATCGAGGAGCACACGCAGGACATCGCCAACATCAAGGCCTCATCCGCGCTCCTCGAGCAGACGAACAGGCAGATGGCAGACCAGATCCGCGAGATGCAGACCACCCTTGCTCATGTGGACTCCTTGGGCCGCAGCGAGGGGCCTGACATGCTGCGCCTGGCCGACTGGGACCGTCCTGCGGACCCACAGCTGTTCGTCGCCAACTGCCACAAACCGTGCACACCAGCTGCCATCCTTGACAGCTTGGCTCAGTGGCTGGAGGCGGCCAAGACCACGAATGCGCAGATCACCATCAATGAGAAGGAGCCCTCCAAGCGTTTCCACATATACGTTCCTGGCGCTGCCGACGGCCGCGCACGTGCCCTTCACCTCACCAGGCATCTCAGGTGTGAATCTGGACGATGGCGCGACTTCCCTGTCCGCGCTGTGGAAGGACACGACGAGAAGCTCAACATAAACCCTGACAAGAACCCTCGCGCCATACGTCAAGAAGTGCAAACTAAAAAGTTGTTGGCCATTTGCAGGGGATCTCTCCTTGGTGACTGGTGGATGCAGCGCAATGCAGGCATCATCCACTTCGGCACCACCCCGATCGCAGAGGTCAAGCCGCAGCGCCCAGATGAACCGTCCCAGTTGTCGTGGAGCCCCGCGGCGAAGAACGACCTGCAGCTGGACACCACTGCCATCTCGAACCAGTTCAAGGCGCTCTTCCGTGCGGTGGATACGTCCCCATGGTCGTCTTCCTAGCCCGAGATGGACCCCATGGCTGCGCCCAGATGACAACTACCCGTGTCGAATCGTCTCGTGGAACGCTCGAGGTCTTCTATGCCGCAACCTAGGCAAGCGCAACATCAATATCCAGAAGCTATTTGAATCCATGAAGCAGGAGGCTGTCATTGTATTGCAAGAAGTACATGGTCATAGCATGACTCGACAGAATCTTATCAATCGTTCCCCTTATAACTACAGGGCCTTCTTCAGTGGCACAGAGGTGACTGGTGCTGGAGGCGTTGCTACCCTTCTTCCTATTCCTCCTGATGACGGCCTCCCTCCTGAAGCTCTTCCAGTGGTGGTCCACCGAGTCCTCGCCAAAGGTCGCGCCCAGCTCCTCGCGGTCAAGAACCTGATGCAGAAGACTGAAGTTCGCATTTGTAATGTTCGCAATTATGATCTCGGCCAGCAAGATAAGCGTCAGATTCGAGCGTGCTGGATTGAGAATGGCACGTGGGCTCACTCCAACCCCTCTCGCAATCTCTTCGTGATGATGGGCGACTTCAATTTCAGTGACAATCCCAATGAGAGCCTGCTCCGCCCACTAGCAGGTGACGCACCAAGGGATCATGGTCATCTTTTTCGCCCGTCTGACGCTGGACGTGCCAACCACTCTGAACCCTTCTGGCGTCAGCTCATTACCTCCTCGGACAAGATGACTGAGATTGTGACCCCAGCACCCGCGCACTTCGACAGGCACACCAACCAGATGACCTACATTCCAGGATCTTTCTGTCGACACCGCCACATTTCGCCAAGGAGATGCAGATTGTGGTGAACATCCGTTATGACGCACGGGAGCTGGCCCTCTGGAAAGTGAGCGACCACGCCATCATCGAGCTCAAGATTGAACCGCGCATGGAGGCGGACAAGAGCAACCAAAGCATTCCTTCCTTCATCTTCAACACAAAGGAGTACAAGGAGCAGCTGGCCACCTGTCTGGACGCATGCGACATTGATCAAATGTCGCCCACGGAGCAGTGGGAGTGCGCCAAGCGGCAGATGATCCTGGCCGCGGAGGGCGCACGAAACGCCATGTTGCGGACGCCCATCGGCGACAACTCCAACAATGACATCGAGGCCAGGTGCATGGCGCTGCGGGCGATCGCTCGCGCTGTGTGGCGCCAGGACTGCCGGCTGGCGACGCGGCTGCTCGAGCGCGCTGCTGCTGGCCCTGTCCACCTTCGACTGGAGGGTACAGCTGTGGTCCCGCGGGACGCGGCGCGCTTCGAGGCGGAAGTCCTCTCACTCAATGAGGCCCGTAGTGGCCAACTTTTAGAACAAACAGAAGTAGAGATGATTCGCGACAAACCAACCCGCGTGGTTCCCTGGGACGGGCCAAGCAGGCCCTCTTTCGCCGTGCTCTGTTGTGGAAACCCCAGGGGCGCAGACTCGTTCTCCAAGGGGTGCAACATTCCCAGGAAGGCCACGGTGATGTCGTTCTCCGAGGCGGCCAAAACATTTCAGATGCCATCAGGAACCATTGGGAGCCAGTGTTTCAAGAGCGGATTGAGGGCGCCCCCCAACAAGACACGTTTATAGACTCCCACCTCCCCCCCCTGATGTTGTGGACCTTCCTCTTCCTACTCTCTCTGACCTCAACTGGGCTCTGTCGAAAGGGAAGTCCTCGTCCCCTGGCCCCGATCGGCTCCCATATAAGGCGTGGCGTGCACGCCCGAGGCTAGCTATCGTACTTCACTCCCTCCTTCTCTCGCTTTTTCATGCCCCCCCCCCCTCCTGCCTCTCTCAATCACAGTTTGTTCGCCTTCATTCCCAAAGGCGAAGAAGAGCTCGACCCAGTTGACTGCACCCGCCAGCCTGGACAGTTGCGCCCATTGAGTCTCAAGAATTGTGATGCCAAAGCAATGGCCACCAGCATCAACCGCAGGCTCAAGCATGTAGCAGAAGCTCACACTCACACAGTACAGCAAGGATTTGTCAACGGCAGGAATTTTGCCAGACATATCGTTAGGCTTGACTCTTTGACCCGTATTGCTAGCATAGGCGATGATGCCCCGCTTCGTAAGCCTGTTTTTGTCAGTTTTGATATTAAAGCCGCTTTCCCTAGCATGAGCCAGATCTGGCTGGGCAAGGTCTTGAGGCGTTTCCGTGTTCCCTCCATGTGCCGTCGGGCCATCCGTGCACTCGTGCACGCTTCGGTAGGTTTCATGCGAGTAGGCTCTGAGGTGAGAGAACTATTCACTCTTCGGTCTGGGGCCCCGCAAGGCTGCCCTCTCTCGGGGGCCCTCTGGGCCTTAGGGATGGACCCCATAGTGCGTTCTCTTGTTTCTGGTCTCGAGGCCGCGGGAGGCAAAGGCGAGGACCTTGGAGCTTGCGCGGACGACGCCGGGGCAGCACTTCGATCGGTCACCTTACTCCCTTCTCTCCTCCCCTCGTTTGATGCTGCTGCTGCCCTTGCTGGCCTTCTCCTCCAACCGAAAAAGTGCTGCCTGGTCCCGCTCTGGAGTCTCGCCGACCATCCGACGCGACAGGCCCTAGTATCGTTCTTGCAGAGCAACATTCCAGCATGGGCATCCTTCTCGATAGAGTCAGCCACTAAATATTTAGGCAACCTGATGGGTCCTGGCGCGTCTCTAGAGGACGAATGGGAGGCTGCTGGTCAGAAGTGGTGGGTGCGCGCGAGGGAGACGGGGGGTGGCCGAGCTCCGACAGCAGCCTCCATCGCCCTCTATCACACTCGATGCTTGCCTGTCCTTAGTTATCTGGCCCAGTTCTTTGCCACCTCTCCGCATGTGCTCAAGAAGGAGACGTGGGCGCTCCACAAGCTCCTCCGCATGCCGCCGAGCTCTTTCAAGCGCAGTGAATTGTTCGGCATAGGGAACTGGCTTCGGTCTGGAGCACCACAATCTGTCCTGCTCTCAACGACTGCTGCGGGGTGGAGGATGGCGACGTCGACGCTGTTGGGGGAGTGGGAAGGGATCTTGGAGCGCCATGCAGATGCTGCCGTTGAGTGTCTCCCACTGGTCTCGGCCATCCGAGGCAGGTGGTCTGCTCCGTGCTGGCGAATCCCACGCAGCATTGCCCAGCAATTCGCAGGCTGGAGCGGGCGTGGTCCGAGGCGCGCGACCGCGGCCCTCCCAGCGCACTGCGTACCGCGATCGACGATCGCGGCGGCAGAGGCCGAAAGTTGCAGAGAACAGGCTGATCGCCAACGCCGCCGTCGCGTCACTCTCCAATCGAAGTTCATCTCTATTCTTACCTCTCGCCTCTTCCCTGACGACCTCCACCTCCTTCTCCACCGTCGCTTGTCCTCTGCCCTCCACCCTGTTGCCCCCCCTTCGACTGACGAGTTGAAGGTGCGTTGGCAAAGGCTGAAACACATTCTCATTTCGTCGACGCCCATGCGTGTCTGGGCGCATCTCAAGACGTTGGCGGGTGCATGGATCACCTCCCGACGGGTCCACATTTTGACTCCTCTATCCTGCCGATTTGGGTGTGAGCACGCTCCCGATTCTATCGCCCGCTATTTCCTTTGCCCCCGTCTGCTTCACCTCCTCGCCCTCGCTGGTCGCATCTTCCTTCCCTCTGATCCCATCGTCCGTCTCGGACTAGGCTCGGATGCAGAGTACAGTGCAGCAGAAATTTCGAGGCAACGTGCCCATGAACTTACTGCATTGAGTTTCCATATCTTTCATAAACTCAGAGCCGAACTGGCATGCCATCCGCACCTGTTCGGCACGCATAGCATTACCACACAGGCTAGGCATTCAGCGATGCTTGCTTGCCAGTCCAATCAGGAGCGTGCTGGAGTCGCACCCGCGACCTCATCTCGCACATGACACTCCATATCTCGGCCGATGAGGCCTCAATCAGGTAATTGATCGTAGAGTGGTTGCATGGCTCGCCCCCCCAGGCTACGTGGACTCCTCGCCCTCCTCCTCCTCCTCCTCCTCCTGCCTCCTGATTCTTCTCTTCATCTCCTCGTCCCCTTCCTTCCTGAGTATTAGAGTGCCGAGGCGAGCCACGTTGTTCCCTCATGAGGGTTTTGCTCTCGGCCAGAGGTATACTCCTGAAGGGGCCCAGATATTGCCGTGCCCCTTTATTGGTTCACGACCGCCTGGTCCACCATCCTCCATTTTTTGGGCCCTCGGTTGCCGTTTCTTCAGTCTGGGGGCTTTCTGTCGGACCGTCCGTGCTGCTCTGCTCTGTTCTGCTCCTTTCCCCGTCGTCCATCCTCTCCGAACCGCCCAGTTCGCCCACGCGGTCACCTGGCAGTGGGAGGGCAAGGAGATCTCGGTGCAGGGCACTGGCCGCAGGAAGCAAGTGGCCCGGAACGCGGCGGCGCGCGACCTGCTGCTGCGGCTCACGGTGGCCTCCGGAGGAGGCGGAGGAGGGAGGAGGGAGGAGGGAGGAGATAGCAGTTAGGAGGTAGGATGTAGGAGGTAGGAGGAGGTCGGAGGTCGGAGGTCGGAGGTAGGAGGTAGGAGGGAAGAGGAGGAGGAGGAGGAGGAGGAGGAGGAGGAGGAGGAGGAGGAGGAGGAGAGGAGGAGGGAGGAGGAGGAGGAGGAGGAGGAGGAGGAGGAGGAGGAGGAGGAGGAGGAGGAGGAGGAGGAGGAGGAGGAGGAGGGGAGGAGGAGGAGGAGGAGGAGGAGGGGAGGAGGAGGAGGAGGAGGAGGAGGAGGAGGAGGAGGAGGAGGAGGAGGAGGAGGAGGAGGAGGAGGAGGAGGAAGAGGAAGAGGAGGAGGAGGACAAGCTAGGTGCGCTCGCGTCATATCTGACGTCGCGCACGGAGCCCGCTGCCGAGCGCCAGCGGCAAGCGCGGGCAAACTTTATTCGCGCAGTCGGATGTCGTACTTAGCAGAGCATAGCATTACATGGCATAACATGGTGTTGAAGATCAATGCGTATCCTGACACGGCATGGCGTAGCGACGCCCCAAAGTGGGGGGGCTTCTGCGGTAAAATCAGCAAATCGACACCGAATGTGTAACCATTTCCGATGGTTGTTTCGGGGGGCTATTTTCTAGACTTTGGGGCTTCTATTTGGAAGGACCGAAAACCATGCCGAGGCATGGCGCTGGAAATAATGACGCCAGCCGGTGATTTTTCCGGGGGGGCATTTTCTTGATTTGGGGGCCTATTTGGAACAACCGAAAACCATGCCGTGGCATGGCGCTGGAAAGAACGACGCCAGCGCTGCAGCGGGAGCACGATTCGGAACGCGCGGAAACGCGGAAACGCGGAAACGAGGCCAGCGTTGCAGCGGGAGCACGATTCGAAACGAGCGGTAGACCGAAAATGAGGCCAGAGCTTTAGCGAGAGAAGCATTTCGAACATTATCCTGGCGAAGGGCCCAACCATATGCAGTTGTGAGTGACGCGTTGTGGGTGGCGCTTTCGGTGGAGCTCCCTATGGGGCCGCGAAACGCGTGAGGGACGTGCCGTAATGGGTGGGGGAGACGCATGCGGGCGGTGCCACTGGGGCTTTCGGTGGAGCTCCCTATGGGGCCACGAAGCGCTGTACTGGGTGGTGGCTGACGCATGCGGGCGGTGCCCCTCGCTGGAGCTCCCGATGGGGCCACGAAGCGCTGTGCTGGGTGGTCGCTGACGCATGCGGGTGGTGCCATTGGGGCTTTCGGTGGAGCCCCCTATGGGACCACGCAGCGCTGTACTGGGTGGTGGCTGACCCATGCGGGTGGTGCCACTGGGGCCTTCGGTGGAGCTCCTATGGGCCCACGAAGCGCTGTACTGGGTGGTGGCAGACGCATGCGGGCGGTGCCACTGGCGTCGTCGGCGGTGGGGCTCCTTATGGGGCCACGAAGCGCTGTACTGGGCGATGCCTGACGCATGCGGGCGGTGCTACTGGGACCTTCGGTGGAGATCCCTGTGGGACCACGAAACGCTGTACTGGGTGGTGGCTGACGCATGCGGGCGGTGCCACTGGGGCCTTCGGTGGAGCTCCCTGTGGGGCCTCGAAACGCTGTACTGGGTGGTGGCTGCCACATGCGGGCGGTGCCACTGAGGCCTTCGGTGGAGCGCCCAACGGGGCCACGAAGCGCTGTACTGGGTGGTGGCTGACGCATGCGGGCGGTGCCACTGGGGCCGTCGCTAGAGCTCCCTATGGGATCACAAAGCGCTGTGCTGGGTGGTGGCAGACGCATGCGGGCGGTGCCACTGGGGCCTTCTGTGGAGCTCCTTATGGGGCCACGCTGTGGGTGGGGCCTTCGGTCTCGCCCGCGAGCACCCCCGGCGCAGCCGCCGTCGCCAGGCCAGCGCCCGCCGCGCTGGGCGCCGCGCGCGCTTACGCCCGCCTGGAAAGACGCGAAAGCGCCCCGCATCACGCGACACACGTCTGGCACGAACGACTCCACCGACGCACCCCTCTCCCAGCCTCGCGACCAACGCGGCCCAGGAGGAGACCCAGTGCGCCGGCTATCCTCTGCGAGGGCACCCGGACGTGCGGCGCCTCCCCAAATTCTACGACTGGCGGGCGCCGCCCAGCACCGGCCTCGATCGGGCGCAGCAACACATCGATATTCGCAGCGATTTGCTATGGGGCCACGAAGCGCTGCACTGGGTGGTGGCTGACGCATGCGGGCGGTCCCACTGGGATCTTGAGTGGAGCTCCGTGTGGGGCCACAAAACTTTGTACTGGGTGGTGGGTGACGCATGCGGGCGGTGCCACTGGGACCTTCGGTGGAGCTCCCTATGGGGCAACGATACGGTGTGCTGTGCGGTGGCTGACGCATGCGCACGGTGCCACTGGGGCCTTCGGTGGAGCCCCCTATTGGATCACGAAGCGTTGTACTGGGTGGTGGCTGACGCATGCGGGCGGTGCCACTGGGGCCTTCGGTGGAGCTCCCTATGGGACCACGAAGCGCTGTACTGGGTGGTGGCTGACGCATGCGGGTGGTCCCATTGGGACCTTCGGTGGAGCTCCCCATGGGACCAGGAGACGCCGTACTGGGTGATGACTGACGCATGCGGGCGGTCCTTCTGGGACCTTCGGTGGAGCTCCCTGTGGGGCCCCGAAGCGCTGTACTGTGTGGTTGTTGACGCATGCGGGCGGTGCCACTTGGGCCTTCGGTGGGGCCCCCTTATGGGCCACGAAACGCTGTGCTGGGTGGTGGCTGACGTATGCGGGTGGTCCCATTGGGACCTTCGGTGGAGCTCCCCATGGGACCAGGAGACGCCGTACTGGGTGGTGGCAGACGCATGCGGGCGGTGCCACTGGGGCCTTCGGTGGAGCTCCCTGTGGCGCTACGAAGCGGTGTGCTGGGTGGTTGCAGACGCATGCGGGCGGTGCCAGTGGGGGCTTCGGTGGAGCTCCTCATGGGGCCACGAAACGCTGTACTGGGTGGGTGAAACGCAGGGAGGAAGGAGGAGGGGGAGGAGGGGGAGGAGGAGGGAGGAAGGAGGGAAGGAGGGAGGGAACGCGGGGACCGTCTTTTCAAAACGCAGACCCAGTTCCAGAGGATGGTTGGGGGAAACCCAGAATTTTGAAAAGCAGCCCAAGCGGAAACCCAACTCCCGGGAATCCGGTGTGCAAGGAACCCGTACGCGGGGGGGGGCCGAACATTTCTTGGTCGTCACCAGGGGAGAGAGGAGAGTAGTATTCATATAATTGTAGAGAAGGAGGAGAATGATGATGATGAGGATGATGATGATGAGGAGGAGGAGTTGGAGGAGGAGGAACATAATAATAATAGCAATAATGCGTATATGGATAAAACGATCAATAACACTGATACTACGAACACTATGACTAGTAGTACTAATAATACTGGTACGAGTCATATCAAGAAGAATAATACGAACAATACTAATACTACAAACCATACTAATACTAAGAAGAAGACGGCTACGGCACATAAGATGAACAATACGACGAATGCGAACCGTAATACGCATACTACTGATATTACTACTACCACTACCACTACTTCTACTACTACTACTACTACTACTACTACTACTACTACTACTACTACTACTACTACTACTACTACTACTACTACTACTACTACTACTACTACTACTACTACTACTACTACTACTACTACTACTACTACTACTGCTGCTACTACTACTACTACTACTACTACTAATACTAATGCTAATACTACGGATAGTAATAATCGTAATACGTCAGAGTAAGACGACGATTCATTATAAGAAGGCGGACAATCATGATACGAATGCTAATACTACGAAAACTATACATACAAATAATAATCACACTAATGCTCATACGAATACGAATCGTAAGACCACTAGTACGTATAAGGAGAATAATAGTAACCACACTACTAACACGAATCAACATGATGCGAATACTATGAGGAGGCAGAGGAGGAGGAGGAGGAGGAAGAGGAGGAGGAGGAGGAGGAGGAACGGGAGAAGGAGAAGGCGGAGGAGGAGGAGGAGGAGGAGGAGGAAGAGCAGGTGGAGGAGGAAGAGGGGGAGGAAGAGGAGGAGCAGACGCAGAAGCAGGAGCAGGAGCAGGAACAGGAGCAGACGCATGACCAGGAACAGGAGGATGATGAGAATGAGGATGAGGAGGATGCGGAGGAGGAGGAGGAAGAGGGGGAGGGGGAGGGGGAGGGGGATGATGAAGCTGATGATGCTGATGATGATGATGCCGCTGATGATGCTGCTGCTGCTGCTGCTGCTGATGATGATGATGATGATGATGATGATGATGATGATGATGATGATGATGCTGATGATGATGATGGATGATGGATGATGATGATGATGATGATGATGATGATGATGATGATGATGATGATGATGATGATGATGATGATGATGATGATGATGATGCTGATGATGATGATGATGATGATGATGATGCTGATGATGATGATGATGATGATGATGATGTTGATGCTGCTGATTATGATGCTGATGATGAGGATGAGGAGGAAGAAGAGGAGGAGGAGGAGGAGGAGGAGGAGGGGGAGGACGAGGAGGATCAGGAGGAGCATGAGGAACATGAAGAAGATGACGAGGAGGAGGAGGACGAGGAGGAGGAGGAGAAGGAGGAGGAGCAGGAAGAGGATGAGGAGGAGG